TTTTTTTTTTTTTTTTTTTTATATATATATATATGTTTATTCGAACGTTCGGTGGAATTAAATTACCAATTGGAGCTTGTGCGAGCTTTTAAATTCTTTTTAAAAAGAGAATAATCAAAGAAAAAATATATATATAAACCGAAATAAAAGAGCAAAACAGTAGAGCAAAAGTAAAAAAAAAAAAAAAAAACATCTGTTCGAGCATAAACAGGGTAACCTCGAGGGCATCGTTCCGTTAGAGATGTATAGCAATGATTATTATCTTTTTATTTTTTTTTTTTTTTATTTTAAATCGAGGAAGTGAGAATGGGGAAGAGTTTCACGTTGACCCGGATAACCTAATCGTTTTCTCAAATCTCGAATTGAATTATAAAACAAATGAATGAGAATGGTATTTGATCACAGTCCCAGTTCGTTGAGTATATTTTCTTTAGGTTGTTAATTAAATAAATCAATGGTTTTTTTTTTTTTTTTTTTAATGAAAAACTTATTCATCGACTAAATAATAATTTAAATTGATGTCATAGAAAAAAATTAATATTAATGGTTTTAATAATAATAATTTGTAGTCTGAAATTAAATTAAAGTTTAATCGTATTATCATAAATCTTACTTATTTATAATTTATTATATTAAAGTAAGATTTTTTTTTTATTTTTTATTTACATAAGTATTAAATGAATGAAAACAAAATTTTGAAAAATAAAATATAATAATAAATAAATATAAATATAAATATATAATCATATTATCACATAAGTGATATATATATATATATAGGTCATATACAGTAAGTCATACTGACATAAATTATAGATTATTTGTAATCTTTGATATCTTTCTTTTTTACTTACATAAGTATTCAATGAACGAATAACAATTTGAAAAAATTAAATAAACATAAATAAATAAATGTGAATCAATTATAATATTATTTTATTATTATTATATTATAATTATATTATCAAACTTTAAAATCATTTTAATTTTTCTTTGAATATAGATAAAAAAAATTCTTCAATAATTTTGATTATTTAAATATAAATTAATGAAGATTAGATATGGATCAATGTTTGTCAATTTCTCGGTTGGTATCTCAACGGAGATCTCATTAAGATCTTCAAGTTTACTTTATGTACTAAAGGAATATATCAGATTAATTGAATGATATGCTAACGATTCGATTCAAACGACAATGCGCAATGCGACGATGTGTTACTTGTCTCTACAAAGTAATATGACATACATACATACATACATACATACATACATACATACATACATACATACATACATACATACATACATACATACATACATACATACATA